AGACCAACCAGTCTTTACCACCACGACGCCCTGTCACCCGCTCCCAACATCAAATCACTAAGCCTAATCCAAAGTATGCATCCATGGCCACCCTTACATCCCAAATACCACCAGTCACAGTTAAACAAGCTTGTAAGGACCCACAATGGAGACAAGCTATGCAAAGTGAATTTGACGCTCTTATGAGCAACCAAACATGGAACTTTATTCCTCCATCTGATCACCAAAATATTGTGGAGAATAAATGGATCTTCCGTATTAAGTGCAAACCTGATGGATCAATTGAACGGTACAAGGCTCGCCTTGTTGCCAAAGGTTTCACTCAACGGCCTGGAATCGATTATGTTGATACTTTCAGTCCGGTTGTCAAACCAACAACCATTCGAACAGTACTTGCCATCGCCACACAAAACAAATGGCCACTCCATCAACTAGACATAAATAATGCTTTTCTACAAGGTACACTGACTGAGGAAGTCTTTATGAAACAACCGAAAGGTTTTGAGAATCCTGATTACCCAAACTATGTATGCAAACTAAACAAAGCCATATATGGTCTCAAACAAGCACCCCGTGCTTGGTACACCGAGCTCACGAATTTTCTCATTTCTGCTGGATTTCGCAAGACTCATTCTGATCACTCTTTATTTACCTTACACTCTCATAACACTGTCATTTTCTTGCTTGTATATGTAGATGATATTGTTATTACAGGAAATAACTTGCAAACTATTAACAACATCAAGAGCGCACTCTCCAACCGTTTTTCACTCAAAGACCTTGGACCACTACATTTTTTCCTAGGCATTGAAGTCCTTCCACAATCAGCTGGATTATTTCTTTCTCAAACCAAGTACATAATGGACATCTTACAGGAGTTCTCTATGCAGGACTGCCAGGGTGTTTCTACACCATTATCCACCACGATTTCACTTAGGTTGAATGATGGCTCCCCTCCTACAGATGCAAAACAATATCGAAGTGCAATTGGCAAGCTCCAGTATCTTGCATTTACTAGACCAGACATAAGCTTTGTTGTTAATAAGCTCTCCCAATTTATGCATCAGCCATCTCACACACACTGGCAAGCAGTGAAGCGCCTCCTTCGGTATCTCAAATCAACTATCCATCATGGGCTTCTTTTTCACCATGGATCTAATGCTGCCCTTCATGTTTATACCGATGCAGATTGGGCAGGGGACCACGATGATCGTACCTCTACTTCTGCTTATGTTATCTATCTTGGCTTAACACCAATCAGTTAGTCATCAAAGAAACAGAGAACAGTCGCTCGATCTTCAACTGAGGCCGAGTATCGTGTCGTTGCTCATGCTGTTGCAGAAACAAATTGGCTTACCAATCTTCTCAAAGAGCTTCGTATCTCTCTTGATAATGTACCAACTATCTACTGCGACAACATTGGCACCACCTATTTGTGCCAAAATCCAGTTTTCCACAGTAGAATGAAGCACATAGCCATTGATTTCCATTTTGTCAGGGACCAAGTCCAACGTCAACAACTCCGGATAGTACATGTTCACTCAGCTGATCAGCTAGCTGACATACTTACGAAATCTTTATCCAAATCCCAAACTCAATGGGCTGTCTCCAAGTTAGGGGTCGTTCCACCACCCGCTAACTTGCGGGGGCATAAAGAAGCTAAATGAAGATGAAATATTTTCCATATCAGTATCATATATTCTGATTTCATTATTGTATATTCTCTGATTCTTTACCTTTAATTACTTGATAGGATTCATTAGTTTTACTGATATTGTGGGATCTTTTACCACATAATTCTTTGTATTTAAACAACACATTGTATCAATGAAACATACAAAAACATTTCTCTTGTGTATTCTGCTCCTTTAAGAATCAATTTAGATTTATGTCTGTGTCGATCAATTATAGAAATCATTCATTCTATGGAACAATATGAGAAGATGAAAAGAGACTTACATTTGATTTTTATTAACTCAGAAAAAGTATAGGACAAAGTCCCTGAGAAGTTCTGTAGGAGATGTTTGAATGTTAGAAGTGTACTCATTACTTGTATTGTGCAATTAAGGACATGTACGATGGATTCAAGACTCAAGTGAGGACGGTAGGAAATGAGACCTAAAGAACTTCCAATCATGATGAGGTTGTATCAGGAATTAACTTTTATCTCATTTCTATTTGTCTTGGTGATAAATAAATTGACGCGACATATTCAAGAAAAATTCCATGTTCACGTACTCCATATTTCACCCATTAAATTCACCCCAACCTGAACCGTTGGTACTTCTAACAACTGTCTCCGATCTACTAAAGAGAAACTGAGACAGACATCACATGAAAAAGAGATTTTATACCACACGAACAACATATACAGGGTGTAATCCCATAAAATGGGGGTGTGAAGGGTAGAATGTACACCGACTATACCTCTACCTCATAGGTAGAGATGATATTTCCAATAGATCCTCAAATCAATAAAAAATAACATAAAGTAATGTATGTACAATAATTAACAGTTATGACGACTTAAGCATCTGCTACTCCTATGGATTCTGCAATTAAACTCATACTGAAGCCAAAGGTTATGCATGACAATTCTTGATTGTTTCCATCCACCATTTTCATCGTAAGAGTATATGAGCCCTGTATAAAACCAACCCCCTGTTAGGTTCGACAACACAGGCAAGCCCGCCTTCTTATAGAGGGAAGTTATGCAGAATGAAGCAGCAGAAAATGATATCATAACAAATTTAGAGCAAAACTGGAAAAAAAGACTTACTGGAGGAGCAATTCCAGGTAAAGCTTGAGAGTGTGAAAGCACAAAATCACCAGAAACAGGGCAAGATGTCTCTTTACAAATGTCATGAGTCTCATGGTGGACGTGAAGGAATAGATACTTGACGTCAATAATCAACTTTCCACCACTGATATTATCATCTGCAAGAGAAAATCTCAGTCACTTTTCTACTCTTATCCCAGAAATGTACACAAGTCATGCTTGACATCTAATTTTGAGAGGTCAAAAGCTTCCTGTGTCCTGCAAATCTCACATAAACTAAGCATGACGAATAGCTGCAAAAGAAGGGGAAAAGATACCTAATACAGACCCATACTAGTGCATATTGGTAATATGCAGCAACACGAGCTATTAAAGAAAGCACATGGTAGATATATATATATATATATATATATATATATATATTTCATAGTAAAGTGATTGCACGATCACGACTGACCATAAGTACATAACCAAGTAAAGTAAAAGCATTCCAAGAATTCAATTTTCCAGGCTACTGCCATTCTCAACAATACCTCCTCTAGTAGTATCGTTGCCATTCCAACCAACAAAGCCAACTGGTGACGTAAAAGTTAGCCTTTCCAAACATCAAAATGAAGGAACAGACCGACTTTATCAACATCACTTTACTTATGAACTTCAACATTATTACAAGGTTCAATTGTGTGTATAAATTAAATGGACATGGGTGATGGGAGACTCCCACAAATTGACTTACTACAAAAGAACAGACGCCTTGAACCCCCGATTCTCCTTCAAAGATAACATAATTTATTCCCTCCACTCTTTCCTTATGGCATAGCATTCCTGCCACCATTTTCCCGTAAAAACAAGTGTGTCCCATGGCAGGCAAAAGTACCAATCATTTCTAATCTTTTGTAACTAGGAAATAACCAACAAGTTGATCAATTATAACTTCTTACTCATTTCAGATCACGAATCACTACGTCAAGGTGTTAACTACTGATGAACGTGAGTAAGGACTAAAAAAACCAAAAAAGATAGAACAAATTAAGACGCGAATTACCTGTAGTTGCAGCAATACTGAAAGTAGCCTCTTTACCTCCTTTAACAGGATAAGGTGTTATATCTACTCCACTGACCTTAACAGCATAATTGGGCTTCTTATCTGCATTGTCAAACCAAAAAACTCTGGCTGTTGGAAATTAGAATCTAGATTATCGATAGTACAGTTTGTGCCTATGCTTTCCCGTGAATAAAAGATATTGCCGGATAAAAAAATTTAAAAAAGGAACAAGCAAAGGAGGATGCAAAATCGAAAGAAGTAAACACACAAACTAGCAGTAGAAGGGATTCAACATCTACGTATAAACATAAAAAGTAATTTTAACCATATATAAATAGTAATTTTCTACCGAAGAGGTACATCTTCTGGCCGGCTCCGCCCCTCATTACAAGGGCTTTTGCTGTGATTATGTGATGCAGTAAGTTAATATGTATAACCATTTTTTATAACCTCTACCGAGGATCGTTTACAAGTACTTTTTTAATCAAACAAACATTATGACAGGTTTAAAATCACTACTTGCAAACATTTTATAACCACACACAATACTATGATTAATTCAAATTATATCACATAAATTGAATCCGAAATGAAGCAAACAGTAAAATTCTCAATTTTTCCATTTTAGAAACCGGAATCGAAGCAATTTGAGGAAAAGGAAAACAATTTTCGGCCCATATTCTGGGTGTGCCATGGGGGCGCATTCCCGCAATTTAGATGAAGCCAAATGTAATGATGAACTCATTCGAAGCGAATGGAAAAAAACTAACTGCAATAATGGAAGTCGGTAGATTTAGCTGATGAAAATGGACGGAGAATACACATCGAGAACACGAGAATAACGATCAATTTCACCGCCATTGCTGGATTCCGATGAGAAAAGGGGAAAACAGAGAAGAAGAAAGTTCTTTGGGAATTTTTATTGGGCTTTTTGGGAATTGGGGTATGTGGCAATGTAGATAATGTTTGTATGATTCTAAAAAACAAAAATTACATTATATCAACTTTAATATTTAAAATGTTCAATTTTTTTAAAACAAATATCTGGTTTAGTGTGTAGTAAAAAAATCTACATATCCTTTTTAACCAATCAATTGCACGATCGTGTTCGTGTAATAATAATAATCAGCAAACCGGAGGGCATGTACATAACATTTACTCCGCGCCAACCACTTCGTCAAGTCTATTTATTATAGATGAGACCTAAAACCAGCAAAGTTGGGACAAAGTCTTGAAAAAGTAGGAAACTTATTTACATGTTTTGCAGATCAACATAATGTGTACACTTGGTTCACAAGTGTACAACTTAACTACATATCTGCTACTGCTTTTGATTCCGCGATTAAATTAATACTGAAGCCAAAGGTTATGCAAGACAATTCGTGATTGCTTCCGTCCAACATTCTCATCGTAAGAGTATATGAACCCTGTATGTATAAAAACACTCTGTTAAGCTCGACAAAACTCGCAAAATAACATTTTTCTTCAAAATCATACGAATATCAGGGAAATGAAACAAGAGTTGGCAACTAATTGTATCGCAAGTAAAGATATGAAATGCATGTAAGTCCATTGAAAGATTTCTCTTTTGTAAATTATTAATTAAAATTGTATCTTTACTCGGACGAATAAAGAGCTGAAGCTAGCCAAAACCGAAGTAACTAGCTAACAAGAATGAACAACTTTGAACTCTGAATAAATATATGATCTGCTTATCACAAGCAATAAAATCAGGGCATAGAGCAAAACTTGAAAGATGACTTACCGGAGGAGTTATTCCAGGCAAGGCTTGAGAGTGAGAAATCACAAAATCACCGGACACAGGGCAAGATGTTTCTTTACAAATGTCATGGGACTCCTTGTGGACGTGAAGGAATAGGTACTTGACGTCAATCACTAACTTTCCGCCACTGATATTCTCATCTGCAAGAGAAAACTCACTTAGATTAGTCATTCTTCTACCGAAGGACTCTTTTATCCCATCACCGTGCCGTTATCACGCTTGACATCTAATTTTAAGAGATTAGAGCTTTTTCTATACTGCAAATCATGCCACCAATCACTCACCATTTTCCACACAAAAACATAGTGTCCTATTGCCTATATTAAAGAGGTTCAAAATATGAAAGAAGTAAGCACACAAAGAAACCAAAAGGAGTTCAACGTCTACGTAACCCCCTTCGGCCTTACATGGCTCCGCCCCTGCCTATCGCATGCAAAAGTACCAATTATTTCCAATCTAATGAAGTAGACAATCACAATAACCATAACAATCAACATAATTTGTTATATCAGGGAGTATGTTCATAACTTTAGTTGAAAGTGAGGACTAACTAAAGACCAATTAAAACAAAAGAACATGTTATTATCACGCGAAATTACCTGTAGTCGCAGCAATACTGAAAGTGGTCTCTTTACCTCCTTTGACAGGGTAAGGTGTGATATCTAATCCACGGACCTTAACAACATAATTTGCCGCCTTATCTGCGTTATTAAACCAAAAAAAGTCTTAAATCTTAGTACAGAGTTGTGTCTAACGTTTTTTCGAAGATAATCTAGATTAACATTTTATAAGAATCCTTCTGCCAATCAGGAAAATTATGAGCATTGTATCATAAGGTAGAGACTACGTAAATTGAACAACGCAGATATATTGCAGGATAACCAAAGAGTGAACAGTCAATACAAGAGCTAACAATTACTGTGATTATGTCATCAATTGTTTAGTACTACCTCTGTTCCAATTTACGTGGCTTGATTTGGTGTACGAGGGTTAGACTAATTAACTAATGTTTAGATTTGAATCCACACATAAAATCTTCAATTTTTTTAGTTTAAAATTTACATATTTAGAAATTATATAAAAAGTAGTAGTATAAATCATAATAGTTAACCATTCAGATTATTTTGAAGTATTTTCCTCCTATCCGGATTGCGGAGTACAATTCAATCATATCTTAGATTTGAAACTAGACCAAGAAGAACCACACTCCAAAACTAGCTATTAAAGAGGTAGAGTCCAAGGTTATATATATATATATATATAAGCCCCTCATCAGCTCATTGGGTGGATGTATTCTTTAATAATGAGTTCATCTGAATCCATAACTTTCAGACACAAAATATATATGTAAGAACATACTAAAATCTTAGTAAATATTAGATCCAATACAATGAGGTCATTGATGAAATCTTAAAAGTTAAACCCATTAAATTTAAATCTTGAACTCGCCTCTGATTTGCTCATATAACACTCAACCAAATTACATCATTTAAAATTGATACTCGTAAAATATACAATTATGAATTCAATAACGAAAACTCACTGCAATATTGGAAGTCGGTGGAATTGGCTGAAGCCAGAGGGAAGAGAACAGAGAATGAGAAGAAGAGAGCAACAACGAAGAGTTTCACTGCCATCGAATAATATTGATCTATCTCCCACAACCAAAGAGCCAGAATTTTTTGACAATTAAGTGATAGAGAACAGAGACGTGGAAGTTTTGTTAGAATACACATGGCAAACATGCATGTCAACGCGTAAGTAATACGAAGCTCATAATAAATAAATGTGTCCTTTAATTTGTCTGTCTAGCTCTTTCTAGAGGCGGAGTCAAGATTAGAAGTTTGGAGGTTTTAACACTAGTGTGAAAACATTTTCACCACCACTCCCTTGCCACAGAATTGTCAATTAATTTTGTTAAGAGATTCACAAATTAATATATATATATGAGTCAAGATTAGAAGTTTAGGGGTTTTAACACTAGTGTGAAAACATTTTCACCACCACTCCCTTACCACAGAACTGTCAATTAATTTTGTTAAGAGATTCACAAATTAATATATATATTTATTTAATTTTCTAATACAAATACAAAATTTATTGAAAAGCTTTGTCCGAACTCACAAACCCCATCTACCAAAACAAATCTTGAAAGATCATGAGTAAGAAGACAAACGAGAAATACACCAAAAAACACAGATTTAACGTGATTCAGTCAATCGACCTACACCCACAAAGGAGATGAGCAATCCACTATAAATATAAGAATACAAAATATAGAAAGATATAATATCAACCAATTCGCTCAGAATATAAGGAGGTTCACAAATTCTCCCTCATAACCAAAAACTCTCAAAATCCTAGGATTACATTGTGAATGCTGATTAAATTAGAAGGAACAAGTCTATATTTATAGAAATCTAAAACTTTTCATACATCAAAACATTAAACCTTTTCCTAAAAGAAAAATCTCGTTTATGGTAAAAAAATCAGGAAAAATAAAACCCAACATAAATATCTATTTAGGCCAAATTTAAGTAGTATGCTTATATTTTCATTAATCCTTCTCCGTCCCAAATTAGTTTTTAGGGAGAGATTTTTAGTTTAAATTTTTGTTAATTTGAATCTCATTCTAATTAGGATTGATTTGTCTATATATTGGGTTATTTTTGTTCATCTTTTTCATCAGATTGAATTCGAAAAATTGATTTTTGAAAACTCAGGAATAAGAAGATGGACCAGCTGGACGAACAAACTATGCAGATGGCGGAGGAGCAAATAGCTTTGGAGAGAAAAAAGCTCCCTTCTCTAAATTTGCTTCCACAAGAAGAGAGGAAGAGAATTGTGCACAGAGTTATTATTTTAACTACTCCAATGATAATTCATGAGGACAACAATCTTCGTGCAAGAGGAACGGAAATCATATCTGATTTTAGCAAAACAGTTGGTATAGCTACTATGATTGATGTAATGCGTCACGATATTGATGACATGGATGAATATGTCAGGAACGGAGCTGCTGTATGTTTTAGTATTGTTGCATCTACTTTAGGTATTCCTGCTATACTTCCATTATTAAGAGAAATTTGTCATAACATGAAATCTTGGCAGGCTCGTCATACAGGTATTATGATTGTTCACAAAATCACGATTATCATGCGTTCTACTGCTCTTCTTGTTGGTTCGGATGCTATTCAACCACATTTGGTGTCTTTAATGGAAATTATTGAACCTCGTCTTAAAGATGAAACCAAAAAGGTCAGGAACATTACAACTCTTGCTATGGATGTTCTTACTGAAGTTGCTGCAATACGGTATTGAGAGTATTATTTTTTTTATTTTTTTAGGTACAACACAATAGAAGAGGATTATTCTTATTGGTTTTATGTTTTTTGAGATCCTTAATTTTTTATGGAAATATTACTGAAATACATGTCTTATTGTTTTTCTTATTTCCAATATCCCCTTCTATTTCTAAAAACCTCTAAAATCTCTTATTTCTTTAATGTATTCGAGCTATATATTAATGTATCCGAGCCAGTATTTAATGTATTTGAGCTACATATTATGTATCCAATTTATTTTATAATGTATCCGATCTAATTTTTAATGTATTCGAGCTACATATTATGTATCCGAGCTACATATTATGTATCCGGTTTATGTTATAATGTATCCAAGATACTCTTTAATGTATTCGAGCTACATATTATGTATTCGGTTTGTGTTATTTTTTAAGGAATTAATGTAATTATAAACTAAAGAGGAATAGATTATAATTTTTTTATAGGTAGGTCAACTGACCAATTCACCATAAAATATTTTCTTTATTCTTGTTCTCTCAATTGGTTTTATGTCTTAGTTTTTCATATTAGGCCAATTGGCTGACCCATAGTAATCTATATTATGGTTTTCCAGTATAATTTTCTTTGTCGGATTTATTGGCTTTTCAAGTTAAAAAGTCAATTTGATTTCTATAACGCTAGAGTGAAAACAACTATAAATTATGATACCCAGTGAAATCATTTAATTTGAAGACCTGAAATAGTGATCGAATTAAAGCTAGGATATGAACTCAATTAAATTATATATCTTTCTATACTTCAGAACCTGATGACATATTTCTTTAAAAAGTCGATGAGTTTTATATGATTCTTTAGAACTTTTCTTTTTCTTGAAAGAGGTTGTTTTCACAATCATTTGGTTTGATTCACTTCAATTTTTTATTTTTTTTCTTGGAAATCCTAGTTGGTCACTTTTTTTTTTAGGCAATGTGTTCCTAGGGCTAATTTTATTAACAAACATAAAAGGATCTCAATGAGAAAAGTACAAGCAAAAAGTACAAGCAAAAAGTACAAGGCCTTACCTTACTAATCTTAATGAGGTAAAAATCTCTACTAATTAACAAGTATGAAGAAAATAAGAGCTAGAGAAAACTAGATATTCTATGATCATCATAGAGTTGATAATACATTATGTGATGATACTACAAATGAGGATGCTTAAGTAATGCAAAAAATACAAAATCTAAGAATAAAGTTGAGTTTGCCTGTGTAAAGTAACCTGTAGTATTTCCCTCTTGTCTTCTTCGTCAAATATGTCGAACAAAACTTGATAGTTCTTCACTTCTTTTTGGATTTACTGGATCGTGTTGTTGTTGAAACTGTCATATGATTTTGCTTTGCCAGTCGCATTGGCCGGTAGGTGCCTTGGAATAAATTCCTCAGTCACGTTATCATCCCAATTATGTTGCCTTTCATGTGTCTTCTTTTTGTTTTTGTTGCTTCCACTTCTTTGTTGCCTAAGCAAGAGATCTCTATCCTTACAACTCTTGCTTTGAACCTCGTCTTAAAGATGAAACCAAAAAGGTCAGGATCATTACAACTCTTGCTATGGATGTTCTTACTGAAGTTGCTGCTATACGGTATTGAGAGTATTATTAGGTTAAAATATTTTCTTTATTCTTGTTCTCTCAATTAGTTTTATGTCTTAGTTTTTCATATGTTAGGTCAATTGGTCGATCCATATTAATCTATATTATGGTTTTTCAGCATAAGTTTCTTTATCGTTTTATTATTGACTTCAAGGTTTGCAATTGCAATTGTTAGCTTTCGTATGATGCTTTCTTGATTATTTCGATCTCAATAGATTCTAATTTTGTTTTGAATCTCAAGTGTTGCTTCTTAGATTTGCTAAACTTTCTTACTTGAGGTGCGATTTTGGCTTGATTGCTGGGTTATGTTTTCTTCAATGTTCTCTTTGCTAATCTAAATTACCACGTCAATTTTTATTTGGTTGTCTGTTGGATTTGCTTGCAACAACACAAGTTGCTAATTTGTTGGGAATTTCGACGAACAATAGGAAAACAAAAGGTGTTGCTTTCTTACCTCGCCTGCTTTCCTTGCTTGCTTTCATGATACTTTCCTCCAATATTGGAACGTGTTTGGTTGCCATGTACTATTGTACTTTGTTTACTGATGTTCGCAACAAATTTTCGTAAGCACGGAAAATTAACTGGAAGGAAAATAAATAAAAGAAAATGTGATTTTCATTGATGAATCGTTGTGGGTACAATTCAGTTGTTCTCTTGATTCTTCTCTCCTAAGCTTCTCCAAGATTCGGGGCCTTCAGTAGCGTACTTCTCAAATTGTTGGATGATGTAAACCTCCTTGAGATGATGTTGATCACCGGGAATGTCGGAAAGCGTTTCGTCGTTTCAAATCGATCTCCGATAAGAACTTCATTGACCACTCCTTCGAAGAGCTATGTAGTTGATGTTGTAGCTTTCTCCAATTGTCGAATGCTTGTGGAAGAGTTTTCTTTATGCCAAAACTTCTTCATGATTCGAGGGCCTTCAATAGCGTATTTCTTGAATGTAGGATGATGTAGACCTCCTTGAGATGTATTTGATTTTCGGGAACGTCGTGAAGCACTTCGTTTATTCAAGTCGATCTCCGAGAAGAACTCCGTTGATCACTCATTCGAAGAGCTATACAGTTGGTGTTGTAGCTTTCTCTAATTGTAGAATGCTTCTTGAAGGGTTTTCTTCCTCCCATTTGAATGTCATGTCTATACCCTATTTATAGTTGTAGGGAGTGGACAAGGTTGCTTGTGATTGGTCAAAGGATGTCATTTTAACACTTGGCGCATTGTGATTGGTTCTTGCATTTGACTGGGACTACCACCTTATTTGGACACGTGGTGTCACCTTGTTGGTCTTGGATGCCTAGTCATTGTGACACATGGCATGAGTTTGGGCTTCAAGGTGAAATGGACCTTGGACTTGAATTTAATAAAAATTGACTTATTTATTTGTAAAACCCAAATTAATCATTCAACCCAAATAAACATGGATTTAATCTAAATTTTGTATGAATGAAATCCAATAAAATTTATGTGTCTACAACTGCATGTGGTTATTCTAATATGTTGGTATACATATAAAAATTTCTTCAAAGCTACTATATTGTGTAATTATGGGTTCCTAAATTTGGGATTTTCAGGGATTTAGAGGACCCTACTGACATACATCTTTCCGTCTTTGTTTCGTCGATTTATGTTTTCGTCAATGTTGCATTTGTTAGCTTAAGTTGTTACCTTTTGCTTAAGTGTAGTAGATCTTATTGTGTAATTATGGGTTCCTAAATTTGGGTTTAGCTTATTGTTTGATAGATTAATGGCTTGAAGAAGGGTTGTTTTCCTATAGTAGCTGGTATAATTCACCCAAAATTTCATTACTCGAAAGAGACAGAAATATCAAGTCTGGTATGAGAACATGTATGGCAAGGTAAAAGAAATTCGCCTCTCATTACTTTTTGTATTTCCAATTCAGAAACAAGACTTCTAATCTTTGTCTTTAACTGCAGTAATAGTGTAAGTTTGGTTGCACTTTCATCACTATACCATCTTGCTTTTCTGGGTCCTGCTATGAGGGCATGTATCGCAAGGTGAAAGAAATTTCACCTCTCATTTACTTTTACCATTTTCTAATTCAGGAACAAGACTTATAAAATTTAGCTTTAACTAGAGTAATAGTTTCGGTAGCTTTAAGTAGAGTAATAGTTTCATGAGTTTCGTTGTACCACACCAAGGATAATTTCGTCATTTGATTCTATATGTACTGCTTCTTTTAACTTGCTAAGTGTAGCTTGTACACACATCCACATAGCTTTAGGGTTACAAGTGTGCCTCCACAGGTACTCCCATAGCCAAAATCAAACTTGTGTTTCTCCTGCTTTGTCTTTCCTCTGTTACTCTTTATGGTTTTGCTCTTTTAGGTATGAGCTGATTCATTTTTCTATAAGTTTTTCGCACTATATTTGGGTAACAATCAAGACGCATTCAGATGAATAAACTATGAGGTTCTGACACTTATTTTAGATTTTTTGGGCTATCAATCATAAAGTTCTTTCATTAATCCTTAAGTTCTTAAAGTGGTAGATATTATATTGATCACACTTATAACTGTGTGTATTGGTGCAAGTTTCTGATCAAGCATCACTGTAGTTTGCACTTATTGCATTTTGCATTTACTAATTTGATATAAACATTGGATCTTATAAAATCTTAATAAGATTTTGGTCGTCTTATAATTTCTAATGAGATCAACATATTTGATGGTGCCCTATTTTCCTATTTGGAAGTAGAAGTTGGAAGCAGAAGTAGCAAAAAGTGCAGCTCACAAGACTTATCTCCCCAGCTTCTTAAAGACATGATTAGTAGTCTGTTGATGAAACTTCTTAAAGACATGATTAGTAGTCTGTTGATGATTGTTACGAGTCTCTGTTTCGTCTTTTTGGCTAGCTTCTCATTCTCTGTGAAAAAATAACACGCCTTAACCAGATGTGACCAATTTCTGTAGTTAACTTGTCAATTCAGTAGGTTGGATGAATGTATTTACTCTTTTACATTTGACAAGGTTTATGTTTTACTCTTTACATTTGACAGGTTAAGGAGACAAACCAAGAAAAGGGAAGGGTTAAGGAGACAAACCAAGCAAAGGGAAAGGCAAAGAAACTTGTTAACTAGCACCGTGGGTAACACTGTGGCTATTGTGACTAACACTGTTGCTATTATGCATAAGACTTGTATCTGCTATGGCTAGGACTTGTGGTTGTTAAGCTTGTAATTGTGTTGTTAAGACATTCTATTTTTGCCTGTGTTAAGCTTCTAATTGTGTTGTTAAGACCTTCTATTTTGGGCATGTCTTACGCTTGTACTCGTGTTGTTAAGACCTTTTGTTTTGAGCCTTTGTTAAGATTGTAATTGTGTTGTTAAGACCTTCTGTTTTGTGCATGTGTTAAGATTGTACTTGTTTGTTTAACTCTTCAGTTACTCTTTTGAGAATTATTGTATAAGCTTTGTTGTCCTTGGAGAATGATTTATTTGTTGCATGTACACTAGAAAATTTTCATGGTAAACTCCAACATTATAATACTTTTCTTATTTGATTCATTTGATAGTCAAATGAGATGGGTAATGAGAATGAAATATCAAGATGACTAAAATTTCAAAATTTTCTCTTTTTGCAGGACTATAATGAAGATGGAAAGATTTTATTGATCAAGTTCTCTTATTTGGTTCATACACTAGCAACTAAAAAGGTTCTCATCTGGAGATCATCTTAACTACACTTACAATTCTTTTTAATTCTTCGGGGCCACATACTTTTGGATTTACACTTCCCGCTCAGACTCCTTGTTTATTTATCTCAGCAAGAATATTAAGTTAGAGAAGCCTTATTCCACCAGAGTACAATGGAAACCTGGTAGTCAATGAGCAAAAGTTTTAATTGTTTTTTGTGTGGTTAAGACAGTGATAAAACTAGTATAGCAAAAGGAGAAAAAGGAGGAACTTTCTTCTTTGTTTTCTATACTTGTTATTCGTGGAGTAGTATCATATTTATTAAAGTCCTTGATTTTAAATTAATAAAATTTTACCATGTGATTATAATGAAATCTGTTGGATATTGTTACATAAATTTAATTTATTAATATAAAGATCGTGAGAAGTTCAATTCAAAACTCTAAAATATTTCTACAAAACTTTTTTATTAATTATATGAACTTTTTTTTTAATTAAAATAAATAAATTTCAATATTGTCTAAGAAAAAAATCACTATTAATTAAAAGTTTTTGGAGCCTCGATTTTTTTTTAGAAACTTTTTTTTGGTGGTGGTGGAACTTTATTAGCCTCTCCTTTTGAGTCACCTTGCATATGAGTGAGGGTGAAAGTGTCATAAAGGATTGTGATGGACTTTGACGTTGCAAATATAGTCCGAAGTCTATAGTAGAGCTTCGATTTAATTCGAATCGCACTCTGCAAGGCCCATTCGGATGTGATGCTCCCAACTAAATTTTCTCCATCTCCAGAGCTCGAACCCGAGATCTCTGGTTAAGGGTGAAGCACTCCCACCAATGCACCACAACCCATGTTGGTGACGTGCAAATATACATTGAAATTATTTTTCGAAATTTTGTCCAACCTTCGTATTAAACACACCCTTAAAAATAAAACAGAATATCATCATCACGGATTCACGAGGGAGACTCCCTTTTACAAATCAAAAGTAAGTTTGTTGACAATTACCTAGGGATGGGCGTCTGGTATTCAGTTTGGGATTTTCAAATTTGAATTTGGTAATTGATAGTTAAAAGTAGATATTAATGATTAAATTTTTAAATTTCAGTTCGGTAATTCTATAATCGGTACATTAAACTTCGGTTTGATACGGTATTTGGCAATACCATATTGAAGTGTTGGCCAATTGTATTACAAGGTTAATACAATAGTTCTCCAATTACTTCTATTTTTTTTTAATGTGGAGATATGATATGATAGAAAATCAACAAGTAAAAAAATATCAAGAAAAATAAATTAATACTACTAAAAAAAACATATGTATTTGGGTTGTTTATGTTTATTCTTTAACTTTTTCTTTTGACTTGTACTACTGAGTAATAAACATGTTGATATATGACCTTCATTAAATAAATAATTCGGTATTCGGGAAATACCAAATACCAAATGGTACTAATGTTTCATGTCAAACTCAAAGTCAAATACCATTATTCTAAAATTTTACTCTCGAATACCATAATATTAAATTATCAAAAAAATTTATTCGATTTTCAATATTTTATGTCCAGCCCTAATTACACCACAAAAAAGAATAGTATTAAGTGGTCAAATTGATTCGGAGATTAGTTATACTTAAATTACTATAATGTAACAATCATTCATTTGGTGGAAGATTAGACAAAAAATACCTACTGCAATAAGATTTTTAATTGTTTACTCTAAGCTTTTTCTGTATTATTAATACACTTTTCCACATTTGATGTTTTATCTTACATAAAGTAGTACGTTAGGTGAAATATTAGCTTTTAGAAGTCTATAACGATATTGAATATTGACTACCCTTAATTGAGAACATTTTCGTACTTTTTAAAGTTTGAATATTTTTGAAAAAACTTCTTGATTTCGTCACCGTTAATGCAAGTAATTAACAATATGAATTTACATATCATCAAAAATTGAAATATATGTTATAGAGGTTATATTTCTAATAAATGCAACCAACCAAATATATTGTAACTACTAATTTACTTGTTCATAATTTTATACTGGGATTAGTTTTGATTTCATTAACGCAATTAATTAATCAATAACCGCCCTAATTGTTTAGTCCACCTATTAATTAATGGGAAAATTGTGCAACGATATGAAATGTTATAGCTACTGTTTTGAAAAATGTGATTCGCAATCATAGTTTTCTTAAATTTTTCTATTTGTTTAATTTGTATAACTCACCCAAAATTATATAATTCACCTGATTGTATAAATCAGAATTTTGTTAATTCAGTTCCTAATTGTATAAATCCCTAATTTGTATATGCTTACCCTCACTATTTTGTATGATTTATGAAAAATTCACAATAAATTACCATGTTTGTATATTGGCAAGCGAAATATACAAACGGAGTTCTGAAAAAATCATAAATGTATAAATACATAATTTGTATATACTTACCTTATTTATATATTCGCAAGCAAAATATACAAACGGACAAACGAAATATACAAATAACTTGAAATATCCATAGCAAACAAAACTATAGCTATGAAGCGCAATTATCGAAACTATAATTATATAACCTTATTATGTCTTTTATATATGTTATTTCTAAAATTTACTCCTAATTAATTAATATACCTTATAATAACATTCATAAAAGAAGAGGAAATAGGAAGAAAAAAAGAGAATCAAATAACACACACAAAAAAATCAAGAAATTGACTAATCAATGTTTCCCTTTTCAAGGACTAAAAATTTACAACTACGCTAAAATTTTCAGAAAATGGGGTCAATGTAAAAAAACTAATTAATCTACAGTTTACGCAAAGCAATTATAAGAAAAACAAACAAGTTCAAGAAACTAATGTAATTAATTACCAATGAAAGAAATCTCATTGACGAGCTTTATGTGGTGTGAATCTGAATTAGTCGAGTCAGTCATCCAAATATCAAGTTGCCAAAGAAACAAGATCAAGATACTATTATCATTACCAATGTAGAGATTAAATCTTCAATCGGAAGCGTACGTTTCACCTTAACGAGCTTTATGTTGTATGAATCTGAATTAGTCGAGCAGTGAATTCATCCCAAAGGTCTAGTGGCCAAAGGAACAACCTCAGCCAAAGGTGTAGATTGTGGTGTTGGCAAAGGAGATGTTCTACAAACAGGACAACTTGGATTCAACATAAGCCAAGGATCCACACATTTCAAATGAAACAAATGTTCACAATCTGGTAATAATCTCAACATATCTTTATTCTTGTAATCAGCTAAACATATTGAACAACAACTAGCTGTTGTGTCTTTATGATTTACCTTAGCTTCAGAGTACAACAACTTAGGATAACTTAAAAGAGTTGTTTCGTCGATCCCAATAATATCGACTATACAATTGTTGTTATTGTCTTGACCATCATGTTGTAACGTACTTCGATTAATTCTATGTATTCTCCTTGGTGGTGGTAACTCTGTCGTTTGATTTCGAGTACAAAAATATGATGTGAGGGTTATAGTTGTAATTAAAAGAAGAATACCTACTGAGACACCGATCCCATACCCAAACCCTCCGATATGACCCGATCCGAGGAACCCGTCGGTGCCGGAACTTGGATCGGAGAGGGTGTTATTCATGATGTTTTTTTTAAGAGAATTATGGCTATGGGAGTGGTTTTTTGGTTTGGTTTGGCCATTGGTATTATAAGACCAAAATTAAGGAAATGGTCCAAATTAAGATAATTATATGAAAAGTCAACGGTTTTGATTGAATGAAATGAATTTGGACTTGAAAAAGAAATGAACAAAAAAGAATACGTACTATTTAATAAAAAGAGAAAAAGTTGAGTGTTTTCTAGTGAATATATATATGAATGGATATATATTAGACTATAGTGCTTTTATTTTTGTACTCCGTTTGTCTCAAATTATGTGTCGTAATTTTTAAAAATAGTTATTTCAAGTTACTGGTAAAGCTTAAAACATTTTTTTTATTTTAATTGTAGTGGTTGTATTGTTCTTGAAGACACCTCAATTATGAGTGATGTTATGATTGTTCAAATATCAATGTTTAATAAAATCACTTTTCCTAGCCTCCTAACTAATATTTCTCCGTTTTGTATTAGTTGTTCACTTTATTCTTTACATGCTCCTTAATAAATCATAAACAAAGACATTTTTACTAATTTACTTCTTAATTTTTCTTTTGAAACTTTACAAACCTGTTTACACTTTAAAAAAGGAACTATAAATTGTTAAGATAAATGATTCCTTTTTTATTTTGTAAAGTAACAAGTATTTTAGAACAATTAATATATAATAGAAAAGGTATTTTTTTTTAAGGAATGTATAAAAAAAAATTACGATAGATAATTTAAGACTCGAGGAGTACAAGTCTTGCTTGGATGGAAAATTTTGGGATGTCAACGTTCTCTAAAGTCTAATCTATCATTATCTTGTAAGCTATGTTTCATGTGATCAACATCTTTTTCTGCTACATTTTTTCAACTTTAATCAATAGTAAATTAATTATAAGTTTAATTAGTTAATAATTTATTTGACTCTTTCTCTCTCTTCTTAATGAGCACTCTACTAATTGCACGTTCCATGCACCAAAGATTTAGGTGGTCATATATTATATGATGACTATTTTTATTTATTTTATGTTACATGACATGAATTTAAAATACGATATTAAATAGTGTAGGGAGGTAATAGGTCCTCATGAAAGTTTAGTATCGCAACAGCAAATCTGACCAAAGTTGGGTGTATTTTTCAGACCCTTATTCCAAAATAAATCATAGTCATTTATTTTTTAAAATGATAACAATTCTAACAAACTCATTTCGCAAAATAATGATTTCTAATTAGAATTGAAGCTTTCTAGCCAATTAGAAAAAATAGTTCGATGACTTTCATGCAATAATACAAGTCAATGACCATATAGTAAAATGTAAATTCATGTAATCTGCCTCTCCCTATCTTTTAAAGACCATGTTTTATTGTAATACTCCATGATCAGTATTATAATTGGTTATTGTAACTCACTTACAAAACCTTAAGCCAAGAAGTCAGTAGCAGAGTCAGAATTTTTACTGCAACATCAATCCCGAAGGTCTAGAACCCAAAGGAACAACCTCAGCCAAAGGAGTAGATTGTGGTGTTGGCAATGGTGATGTTCTACAAATTGGACAAGTTGGATTCAACATAAGCCAAGGATCCACACATTTCAAATGAAACAAATGTCCACAATCTTGTAACAACCTTAGCATATCATTATCATTGTAATCACCTAAACATATTGAACAACAACTACTAGTTGTTGATGATGAATCCTTATAATAATTCACCTTAGCTTCTGAATATAACAACTTAGGGTAACTCAAAAGTGTTGCTTCATCAATCCTCATTTCCACATCCACACAATTATTGTCATCGCGATTTATCATTCTTTGTGGTGTTTGATTTCGAGTACATAAATATGAAGTCATTGTTATGGATGCAAACAATAGAACAATGCTAGCGGAAACACCAATGGCATAGTCGAATCCCCGGATTTGTTCCGATCCGAGGAACCACCCGGTGCCGGAATTTGGATCGGAGGTGATGGTGGTGTTCATGATGATATTGTGGAAATTAAAGAGTTGGTTTTATGAGAATTATATGGGAGTGGTTTTTATTTGGTTAGCTATTTAACTTGGTATAAGATGAAAAAGAAATTGGTCCAATTAAAAAAAAAAATTGGAAGTCAATGGCTTACGTGAGAGATTTGAAAAAAAAAAAAGAAAGGGAAGATTAGTGGCGTTTTGGTTTTTAAAAAAAAATGAAGATAGAATATTAAAAATAAGATACACTTCCTCCGTCACAATTTATGTGACACTTTTCGGATTTCAAGATTCAAAGAAGTCTATCTTTGATCATTAATTTTTCATTTATCTTTTAATTATTTTGAATTGTCAATTATTGTGACTTATAGTACTTTTTACGTAGCTTACAAGTATATAAATTATTCATTTAAAAAAATTTGAAGATTCCACACACAAATTTCCGATCAAACTTAAATTATTTGACTCTCGAAAAATAAAAAATCCCACATAAATTGAGACAGAGGAAGTATTTATTTGCTACAACTTATTAAAAATGAAATGATATGGTAAAAGAGTTGGTTTTACGTGAGATAAATGAATGAAAGGTTGGTGGCATTGTTTTGGTTGGAAAAAAAATGAAATTGGATGTGAGATAAATGAATAAAAGGAATATTAATGGAGAGAAAAATAAAATTATATGGAAGGTTTGATTAAATTATATTGATGATAGTTGAAATATATTAATATACCTATAATGTATATAATTTAAATGCTAGCACTTTTTGCTTCATTTCATGCTTGAATGGAAGGTTTGAGATGTAAACATCTTGATCACATCGTCAAAGGATATGATGCAGTGGATGAGATTGTTCCTTCTTTAATCAAAGGTCTCACTTTGAAATCCTAAACATGAAGAAATCTTTAATAGAAGATGTTTTTTTTTCCGAATAAACCTTATATAATTGCAAATCTGAATTAATCGAATTTCAATTTGTGAACGACCACAAAAATAAGAAGAGATTTCAACGTCCTCTAAAGTCTAATCTATCATTTTCTTATTGCAACTTTGTAAGCTTTGTTTCATGTAAGCAACGTCTTTTTCTGCTACCCACCAAATTTTTTCTAACTTTATCCAATAGTAAATTAATTAGAAGTTTACTTATATAGCTGGTTAATAAATTTTTTGACTATCAATATGAGTCGTAATGAAATTGCTGGTATTTCTTTACTCTTTAATTTTATCGCTTGAGTTTGAGTTTTGAGAAATAATTTTTTTTTATTAAAAACACCAATTTAAAAAAATAAATTACACAATACGTAAATTCAGATTTTGTCAAATGAATATTAGAACGGATGGAAAAATCATAAATAAATAATTTGGCTCCATCTCTATTCTTAATATAATAAGTCTAAGAAATGCACGTTCCATGCACCAAAGTTTTAGTGCATATCATGCCTATTTAATTTTTATTATATTTAAAAGTTGCAAACACCTAAAATCTTATGTTTCATATATTAAAGTAGCGTTTATTTTTTTTTAGGAAATAGGAATAATATTATTATTATTTTATTATTATTATTATTTATTATTATTATTATTATTATTAATCCAAGAGTTCATGATTTGTTGTTAGTTTATTAGTATATATATATGTCACAAATTATTCAATTGTGAGAGTACCCCATCAATTTTTTATTTAAATAATTAAGTTTCATTATTGCACATTAAATAATGATATCAGTTAACTGCCATGCAACTTGTAATCATATGTGGTGTCATTTGCAATATGAAAATAAGCATTACGATTATTTGAAATAAAGTGTTCTCATTGACACAAATATTAATTAATCATACAATAGAACTCGTTAATTAGGTACAAAAAAAAAAACTTAGTATATACGTCATTGACTTTGACAACTTGTTTTTTGATAGTGAAATCAATCACATAATAGAATAAAATAATTCCAATTTTTCAATCATCAAACTTGTTTCTTATAATATATCCTCCGTCTCAGTTTATATGATGATATTTGATTGGACACAAGCTAAATATATAAAAGAACGATTTTGAAATTTATGGTCTAAAACATGTCACGGATATTTGAGTGGTTATTAGTCTTATAGATCATCTCATTAAAGATAAATGAGAAGTTTAAAGTTAAAATTACTACTAAATATAAAATATGTCATTCTTAAACAATTAAACAGTATCACATAAATTGAGAAAGAAGGATCAATACATGTTTTTTTTAATTATTTTTATGAATTAAAAAAAACAGCTCATTTTCTTTGACTCTCTATATCTATACAGCAGTGCATTTTGTATTTGTGGAATGGTTCCATTTTTCATGGGATTAATTAAATTAAACAAATAGTCTCTTTCTAAATCTACTTTGGTTTCTTGTTTAATTAAGTTCAATTTGTGATAAATTAAGGTACCTATTTAAAATAGGCTATTTTTCTATTGATTGCAATAAGAATACATTATATTCTCATCGTAGATAATTTCAATATCTTTTTTCAAGTAAATATCTATTAATTTATCCAAAAACTTAAATTTGAACTTTTACGAGCTGTCAAAATATGTTCAGTCAGTTGTCAATTTCAGTACAAAACTTATCAAGATAACTATGTGTTAACTAATGAGCTTCATCGTATCTTGCCTACTCATCTCGACCTACTTATACCCAACGACTATATGCTCCTTTTGTCCCAATTCTCATTTTCTTGATTCAAATTATGTGTAAACTTTGACCAATATTTTATACTGTAATTTTTTAATCATACTGACATGAAAAATATTGCAACTTATAACATTTTTCATATAATTTTTGAATATCATTTTTTTTTTTAAAAATAATATTTAATTGATCTAATTCAATTTAACTTAAAAAATTAGTGGTGCAAACGTTGTCACTTAAATTGGGAAGAAGGGCTAAAGCCCAGTCCCATCAACTGTAATATTTGATAAGCCCAATCTACTGAGATCATGGGCCGATGTGAAAGATACCTTCAGCCCATTTGATATGATCACTAGGGTGTGCAAAAACCGAACCGACCGATAAATCGAACCGAAAAAAGTGTTATTGGATTATTGGGATAACGGTTATTTAATGGTTTTACAAAAAAAAAATTATTGGGTTATCGGTTCGTTATTGGTTTTTAATATTGGGTTGTTGGGTTAACCGATAACCCATTAAGAATATAATAATTTACTATTTTAATTTTTAGTTATACATATATATAATATATTAAAAAAAATATTAATATAATTAGTAGTATATTAGACTAAATATATAAAACCCTACGCAATAATTAACACTACTTAACAATTAACTCTCCTCTCTACTTTTAGTTATTTAACCTTTAGGTTTTACTTTTTAGTATTACTTATTTACTTTAGTTAGTTTATAATTGACTAATATTAGGTTTTGCACGATTGTAAATATCTGCAATTTGATTAACATTAGGAATTCAAATTGTGTGTGTGTGTGTGTGTTTTTTAAAATAACGTAAGAACTTCATTTAGTTACCATAAGCATGGCCTCATTTGCTACTGTTTTGACTTTTGTCTATGATTGGGTTTTATTTGATTCTCTTTATTGCATAAAGGGGACCTCGTTTTATATATATTATGGTGATCGAAAATTAACCAAGTCTTTGTTGTGATGACCAAAATACAACAAGTTGGTCCTTGTTGTCCCGTTTGGAATGATTATTTCGATGTATGCGTATCGCGTCAAATTATTGGACAAGTCATATATTTGTTTTGAAAGCATTTTCTTATTGGTTAAATCGAAAACCGATAACAAATATCTTATTGGTTTGGCTATCGGTTTAGCATATTTAAAAACCGAAAACCGATAAATCGAACCGATAATACTTATAACCGAACCGAACCGACCGATACACACCCCTAAATTGATCAGTGTGTGATTAGGCCCAAAGTAATTTTACTATATGAAAGAAAATATATAAACAAAGTAATTATTGAAAAAATAGTTTAATTAAAAAAAATCAGTTCATAGTTTTGAATTTTAAGAACTTTTATTTTAAACATTTCTAACACTGTATATACAAACAATATTTGTCAAACATTTTTGAAGTATTCCAAATAAAAAGTATATCACATAAATTACAATAAAAAGAATATATTTTTAAAGAATTCTACGATCTATACTCACAATAATTTATTCTGGAAGAGGACTGTTTTAAAAGTGTAAATTATGAAATCGTTGCCCATGAGCTATCAAGAAAATGATCAAATATGAAATATCAAATTAGTAGGTTCAGAATAAACTATTGTGAGTATAGATCGTAGAATAATGAATTCAATTGAATCGAACTATGTTATTATATCTTTCCCTTTTCCTTTCCAAGCACCTTTTTTTGCACCACTGTCACTTTAATAAAACTTTTATACAAGAATAAATTCTTCTTTTTCAAAGTATATTTATTACAAAGTAAGATGCTTTTTAGCTAGCACTATCTCTCTCAAATCTTTAGTTTTCCTAACCAACTAATTTAAAGTTTATGGTTCAGAATTTTTATTTTTTATATTATTAAATAGAGTATTAATATGTACATATTTTTTTATAAATTTCTTAAAGCAAATATATAAAATTTCAATCATAAAAATATTTTTCAATAGTTTAATTAACTGAACATGAAAATTTTGAAAAATATTTTTTTTCGTACCGTACACAACCCTAACTATTAACTTGTTTGATATTAATTAAGAGTAGATTATGAACAAAACTTTAATGAAAATATCGATATCTTGATCTTATGCTACCATCGTAATTTATGCATTGTTTGTATCATAGGTACATCGTACATGTCTCCCATGATCTTTGCCAGAGTGCACACCTTTTCCCAAATTCCAACTTCCTTGATGTTTTCAACAAGTTTCGCCAAAATTAATGAAATTTCTCTATTCTTAATTAAAAGTTCTGATTTTTTTCATTTGATGAACCCTATGCAACAACCTGAATTCGTATTAATCAAATCATTGGACACGATTATGAATTAG